CCAAATACAAATAAAAGCGCGTCTATGACATTAGATTTTTCAGAACCATTTGGTCCGACAATCGCAGAAAATGACTTGAAATTAAAAATTTTTAAGATTAGAAAGAATCTCGTGCCGAAGCAAATCTCTTACAAAGCAAAAAATATATTATATATACCTTGTGAAAGGGGCCAATTTCAATTTTACTAAAATACGACTTAAAGTTGTTCAAAACCATTTTTTTGATAGCATAACATTGTTTAGGCTCCGGAACAGGAACCTGACGCGTATCTGTACCCAAGGTATAGATTAATATTACTGGTAATTGGCAAGACAATGAAATTATAAAAGATTATTATTATAGAAATGTCGGTTCTTCAAAAACTTGGATTCAGAAAAAAAGTGGTTATAATTCTGGTAGAAATCATGCGAAATTTACTTTTTAGGCAATATAAAATAATATAAAAATCATTACTGTATTACAAGAAATTAATCATTGAAATTGAGAGACGCATTCTTCTTTCACTCAAAATATTTTTGTAATTAGAAAAACTGCGCTCTACATCTACTTCAACTACTGGTAACCAAATATAAGTCAATGCTATTTTTGATAAATTTGCTAATTTTAAATCCAATTCTCCTCCTTTTATTATTTCCTCTAAATGCTCCATTCATCTAATAAAGTATTGGTAGGATTTTAACATTCAATTAGGTATATTAGTATATGATAAAATATTTTATCTATTAATTTGAATATGAATAAATTGGAAATCAAAACATTGAATATCTCTCTAAATAAAGGTAATACCTAAAGCAACTTGATATGCTTGTTTAAAATAAGGAAAGGATCAACATTATAATAATTACATTTGAAATTATTTCAGATAAAATTAGTGGATCATTTGCAATGTAACTTGAGTTTGAGTTACAACAAAAGCTGCTAATGGTTCTATAATCATGATTATAGGTGCTGAGAATTCTACTTTTTTAGAGACTTGAAAGTAGGGGATTCCTTCTTACAAGTCTTTTTCATAAGTACTGCACTTTGTATACTTTATTTTTATAGCATAACAGTTTCAACTTCCTCCTCAACTATGTATTCTATTTCAGGCTCTTTGAGATCTTCCTTCTTCTCAAGTATGTATTCTATTTCAGGCTCTTCGGAATCTTCAGTGGTTCTTATGGGACTGGGTCTTTCTCAGCATTTTGGTATATATAATTAACCTTTTTAGTCCTCTTAACTTCAAGACAATTAATCTTTGTATGATCAGCCTTTCCACAGACCGAACAATGATGAATAACTTGCGGGGTAATAATTTGTCTAACTAGTGGTTTTTATATTACTCTTTTAACTTTCTGTGTAGTATTTGTATTCCTATCTTATGATTCTAAAAAGAAACTCTTTCTTATATGAGCTGTTTTGTCTCTAAACCTTTTTTGAAGATCATCATAGATAAATTGTTCTAAAGTTATGTCATCTGTTGCTATTTCTGTATATTGCAAATCTCTTGCAAATCGAATTTTAAAATCATCTTTTAGTGGAATAGGAGTAGGTGTTATTAATTGAAGTTCTAATTGGAGTACTATAGGTATTTAGCTTATACTCACATATGGATTTCGTTCTAATCATAAATCTTTTAATTGAGTAAAGAATGCATCTATACCACCAGGATTAGCTATTCTCATCCATATAAAAAGATCATCTGATAAGTAACTTTTAAGAAATCCTAAAACTAACGCATCATTATCTGCAATACCTAATAATAAAAGCTGAATTCTTTTTTCATATGTATCAGGTGAATCGTTAGATAAATATCTTTCTTGAGTTAATCTCTGAAAGACCATTTGCTGACTATCTATTGTTTCATGCTGATATCTTACTTTCATCCATATCTGTAAAGTAACTGGAGAATTAATAGCAGAATTAGTAGCTGTATATAAATCATTATTAGGAACTGATATACACTTTTTTTTTAACTTAAATTTTAAGAGACCAAATTTAATTGCATCATCAAAATCCTCTGCATTAGCATTTTCAAGTGCTATCATATTTGCTTCTAAATGCGATATAGAATTCCAAATTTTATCTAAGTACTCATCAGAAGATTCCTGCTCAGTATATTGTCATATTTAGCAAAAATAGTTGCTATTGTATTATATATCAGTTGACGTCTAGCTGTTGATATATTTGGTGGATTAATAAGCGGATTATTTTGTAGATTTAAAATAATTTGCCAGGAATTTATTTCCTTAGCTTTCCATTTTTGATATCTATTAAATACTCAGGTTCGGTTGAATTCTGCCAAGACAGCCTTAGCTTTGTGTCTTCTATTTATTTGCCAAAGGTCTACCTTTCTTGTAATAATATATGGTTACGCTTTTTTGATCTCTGAGTTCTAAGCCATTATACCTGATGCTCATTTGCTTCATTATTATATGCTAAAGTTAATAATTGAGTTCTTCAAAGACATTTATTTTTAACATTTGTCATATCATTCATAAGATTATTAACCTGTCCATTAGCCATATTAAGCAAATCTTAATAATATAAGGTCTAATTTGTTATCCTTTGCATATGAGTACGAACAGTTGTTAATATTATTCGTATACTATTCAAGGTATTTTTAGGATCAAATGATCTATCTCCATCAACATATAATTCAACACAGTCTATAGCTATAGCAATATTTCTTAAAAGTTCTGATAATACCATTAGTGAACTATTTATTTGGGATAATTTTTTATCTGTAATCTCCCTAATTTGCTTCTTAAGCTGTTCAACTATGTCTTCTAGCTTTAAAATATAGATATTTTGAGTAGTACTTGCACTACCTTTATGTCTTAAATCCTGTAATGCTTTGTGAAAATGCTGTTTAAGAGCTTTGATCTCAATCTTAAGAGATGCTATCTCATCTTCATAAACTAAGATTGTAGAATCTTGCTGAGATATAATTTTATAGCATGTATCTATCTCCTTGTTAAGAGTCTTAAGCTTTTTATTGGAAATATTATTTGAGATTATTTCATCTGTTAATTCTTTGCGTAACTCTTTATTAGTATTAAGGAGTTCTATATAAGCCAGATTCATGTTATTGATTCCTATTATACAAATAAATTCGAGTAAAGCTAGAAATTTAGATATATCTATTAATTTGCAAAAGATTTATTATCAGCCTTCGGGTTATCAGAAGACTGTAAAAAAATTGCATGAAGCTTCTCTAAAAGTTGGATTTAATTTTACCTTAAATGAAATGCGTAATTAGCTTGAGGGGCAAGCTGTTTATCAGATTTATAAACTCTGACCAAAATATATTCTATATGCAAGTTTTAGCTCTATTACTATTCCTAATGAGATACATCAAGCAGTCATTGATTCCTATTATACAAATAGATTCTAGTAAAGCAAAAAATTTATATATAACTATTGATTTGCAAAAGATTTATTATCAGCCTATTGCCTATTAAAGAAATGCTAAAAAATTACATAAAGCTTCTCTAAAAGCTGGATTTAATTTTACCTTAAATAAAGTACGTAATTAGTTTGAGAGACAAGCTATATATCAGATACATAAGGCTCGTCCTAGATATATTCCACAAGCAAGTTTTATTTCTATTACTACTCCTAATGAAATTTATCAGGCAGATATTTTCTATATGTCTTATGATAAGATAGGACAGATTACCTATCTTTTTTGTCTTAATATGGTGGATATGACTTCAAGGTATAAAGTATCTATCCCTATTAGTACATTTAGTGTCAAGGATGAAAAGGGTATCTTGACTTCAAAAACTATTGCTCAAGCTCTTGAGAAAATCTATATGATGATCCTAAGTGTTTTCTTATTTAGCCAAAATTGCTAATCACTGATAAGGTTCTGAATTTAAAGACGAATGTAAGAAGTTGCTAAGTGAACATAATACTAGATTTCAGAAGGCTAAATCTAAGACAACTGTTAGCATTGTTAAAAGATATAACTGAACTTTAACTAAAAAATTGTTTTTATTTCAGATGCTTCTGATCTCTTAACTTTGTATTTAAATAAATGATCCTGAGTTTGAGTAAAGAATTTGCCTATAGTTGTTGAGGATATTAATAATTCTATTACACGTCAACTTGGTATTTCTCCTATTGATGCAATAAAAAGAAAAAGTGTTATGTCTAAACTAAGGTTGCTGGACGAAATCAAGAGTTTAGACAGACGTCTAAATGGTAAAAGTAAAACTTGGTTAAATTA